GCGTCTATTATCATTCTCTTACAGTGCCAGTTTAAGCACATTTCGGGTCCTGGGCGCAGAAGATCTACAGGCCCCCTTGGAACTGGCGGAGTAAAATTTATAACCAGCAACTCTGGTTAAGTCCAGCTTATCCCGGCCCTTCCGGGCTCTTAGGCACCCAATAAATAAACTGGCAATGCTCTTGTTCATCTAGCGAAAAATTTGATGTGACGATAGCTTTCAGATTTGTAAAAAAACTTTCCAAATTTTACCAAGCCTTTTTCTTGATGTTGTTATTTTATTTTCCATCAATATAAATTTCTTGTGTAAAGTATAAGAATCAAATGAAGTTTCATCTAAAGTTCGGAAATTTTGGAATGCTTTAACTTTTTAACGTTTATTAAAAAGCAGAGTTTTGAGTATTAATCAAATTTTGCATTCTTTACTTTTGCAGATTTAATATTAATTTAATTTTAAGAAAAGATACAGCATTTTTTTGAAAACTGTCTTTTCGTTCTGATAGTAATTATTAAAGACAATTCAAGTTGTAAAGTTAACCTCCATAAAAAAGTTTTTGAATAGAATACAGATATGAAAATAAAATACGAAAATAAGGAAGAGAACATTCCCCGTCAGAAATATGATAATTAAAATTGCATATTTAATTTTGAAGCAAAATACAAGCTGTGACACTGTCAACAAAAAAAAAAAAAAAAAGGGAGTGAGCTAAGGTAGATAATAAAAGAATGAAAAAAAAAAAAATTATTAATATTCATATGGAGTCACTTTTTTTTAAAGAATAATGAAACATCTCTGTTTTTTGTTTCATGTTTTCATTTTAAATTTGATTTAATGAAAATCAGCATAGAGCAAATGTTACTTTTCTCTTTATTTTCGATTTCTACATTGAATCAGAATATAAGTATTTATTTTATAAAATTATTTATCTGTAGGTTAGATTGAAATATTTAACAAAATTTTAGGATGAATAAATACAATTATGGTACTAAATTCAAATAAATCAGTCCTTCTAATATAATTCTTTCTCCTAGTATAACTTAATACTTTTATATAAATTGGAATCATAATTTTTTGCGTATTTTATTATTAGTTTATATAAAATACTATAATTTTTTAAAGTTATATGATGGGAACAGACATTATGTTGGAAATATTTTTATTTGTTTTTAAACAAGTAGCTTGCAATTTTAAAACTACTTAGTTTTGGAAAATTAAAATACTCATATGTTTAATTTTGTTTGTTTTAGTTGCTTTGGTTCTATTACCAATGGACGTTATTACAATAAGAATCGAAACTCCAGAATTTTGAGCAGAACATCTAACATTTAAATGTGAGTTACTAATTTATGAAACACTAGTATGAATTAAAATTTTTAACCAAATATCATTTCTATTCAAAAAGTGAGTTTTCCAACAACATTCTGCTTTACAGAATTTTGATTATAAAGTGAAAGTATGTAGGTCGGTGAAGGGGCACTGGAATCTTGATTCAAACAAAAATTGTCGGTAAGAAAAATGGAGATTAATTTATTTTGTTTACCTTGAGTAAATTAAATTTCAGAATTTTCACAAAGGAAAACAAGGAGAATTAAATGAACGATGCGAAAGTTCAGATGTTTTTATTGACAACTGACTGTATGTTTTCGAAGAATATTTGTCACCAATGATTTTTTTTCATGTATAACAAAAAGATGGTATTTTAAAACCTCTTAACTATGGTGGGTGTATGTATATGCCTCTTTTAGCCTCTGCTTTAGCTGTCCCTGGCTTATACACTACTGTTTGTAAAAAATGCAACACCATGAAGGAATCATCAGAATTAAACGAACTTTGCAGCAAATATCAATTATAAGATGTTACGTAAAATAGTTAAGTTTCAGAGCCACCACGAATGCGTGGCGTGCGCAGCGCCCTCTGAACTGATGCTGAAAGTGTATAAATAGAGGGCTATTGTGAGACGTTGAAAATTAATGATTATTTGTCAGTGGCGAACGTTTTGTGAGATCTAATTATGCCTCCATGACGAAATAAGGAGACATTCCAACAACTTACGGAATTTGAACGGGGGAGGATTATTGGCCTTCGAGAAGGAGGATTTTCCTATTGCGCGATAGGAGCTCGAGTGCAGCGGAACAGTTCCTCAGTGATGCGAGTTTGGAAGCAGTGGACTGATGAGCACCGAACAACTCGCTGGCAGCAGACGATGGAAAGTGACGTCAGCGCGTGACTTTCGACACCATGGTCGAACTTCCTCCAGGCAGTTGGCAGCACGTTGGTCTACTGCTACAAGTATACTAATTTCGGCTTCGTCAATGCGTCGACGTCTGCTGCACCGTGGATTGCGTGCAAGGGTGCCTTTATACAGGATCCCCTCACGGAAAACCATCAACATCTGCGTCTGCAATGGGATCATGAACACAGAGCCTGGCAAGCTGATTGGCACCAAGTTGTCTTTTCAGATGAATTACGCTTCAATTTTTGTAAGACCACGATGGCCACATTCGTGTTAGATGCTATGCCGGTGATCGCTGCCTTCCAGAGTGCGTTATCGAACGACATAGTGGTCTAACACCCGGAGTTATGGTTAGGGGTGCGATTTTGGATCATAGACGATTCAATTTGCTACGAATTGAGGGTAAGCTCAATAGCAACAGGTACGTCCGTGAAGTGCTACAGCCCGAAGTTGTTCCCTTCCTTCAAGGCATCACTGGAGTTATCTTTCAGCAGGATAAAGCACGCTCACATATTGCAAAAACTGTTCGAAATTTCTGTTCAGCCCAACGCATGCAACTTCTTCCTTGGCCTGATAATTAGCCGGATATGTCGCCTATTGAGCATGTTTGGGATTTGGTTGGTTGACGTCTCGCTCGTGATCCGCATCCTGCAACTTCAAAAGACGAACTTTTTTGTGCATACGAGCAATATGGAATTCTCTTCCACAAGCAGACATTCAAAATCTGTTTGAATCCATGCCACGTCGTATAGCAGCACTTATTGCAGCGTGTGGTGGCTACACCAAATATTAATTTCGGACACTTAATATCGTTTTTTTTTTCTTTGAAAATTTCGTCATTTATTTGTACTAATGTCGTTTGTGCATTAAATTTCATTTAATTCTGATGATTCCTTCACGGTGTTGTACTTTTTACAAACAGTAGTTTATATACGCCTTTCCGAATTATGAATCTTTTGCATAGCTCTGTTATCTGCAAAATTAATTTTAAGGCTTTAGAATGCGGTACGATGAACTTAATAATGTTTGTGAAGGATTTACTTATTTTTCAAAGAAGGATTTACTTATTTGCGTCTTTTCTTCCCCCTCAATACACTGCATAACTACGCCCGCCTGTGTGAAAAGTAACAGTGAATCGTGCAACTTTTACTCGGCAGTTAAGGGGTTAAATTTAAAACTTGTTCCATTTTAAGTGTTTATAGATGGTTTAAATTTAATACACATAGTTGTTCAGAACGCCCATCCGCAAAATTTACACTTAGTGTATGACACTGTAGGTTTCTTCATAATTAATTGACATGAGATAGTTTCTTTAAATTCCTATTTAAACTGAAGTCTGTAATTTTTATGTATAATTTTATTTATTTACTGTTTTTTTTATCTATTTTCATTTGATTATTTTTGAATTTAATTTAATTTGATTTTTTTTTGAATTTATAATTTCATTTTTGATTCGTTTTAATTTATTTGTTTTTCATTTTTAGACACATGCATTTTTTTCAATATCTTCAATTTCACCCAATATGTCCCTAGTACAGTTAATGCAATTAATATTCAAAAAATAGAATCAAAGTTTTTGTAAAGAACAAAACTGATTCACATTGAGTATTAATAAAAACTAATAAATAAACATACCTGAGAATGAAAACTAGACATACGCTAAATACTACTGTTATAATTTATTCTTTAACAAATGACAAATATAGTTAATAAAAATAAGTTCTGGAAATAATTTCACTTTGTAACAATTTTATAAGGATCTCCCAAATGAAAGTGGCATCACAGTCGGTTTAATAAATAGTTCAAATAATGCTATTAATGTAAATCAGTATACAAAGGAAAGAAGTAACGGATAGGCTAGACAAAGTCACCTTGTAGATTGAAACAAATGTCACAGCGATCCACGTCATGATGGATAATCTGGGTGAAGAAGCTCTGGTGTTGGTTGTGGAACCAATTTTCACTATCGTTGGGAAATCACCGTCCCTTCAGAGTTTTCTGGAGTGGACCGAAGATGTGGTATTCACACAGTGATAACTCCGGGCTGTAAGGGGGATTTTCGAGAACCTCCCAGCGGAATTGCCATTACAATGTTTGGCATGCCATAGCCATATAAGGACGAGCATTATAAAGAAAGATGCATCCCCTTGACAGCATGCCCCGTCAGTGGTTCTTGATATTCTTTCTAAGTTCATACAATGAGGCACAGTAAGTGGCAGAATTGACAGTCGTATCGTTTTGAGGGATCCATAATGCAAACGATACATTTAATGTTCTCCCATGTTATCACAAACACATCTGGCGGGATCAGACGACATCGCATGCATTCCCAGCACTCTGTGCCCTCTATAAGGACATGTGTAGTCCTCTTTCTCTTCAAATTACGGAGTTATTACAGCAATGCCATTTTCAGTTGGGCGCCCTTTATACAATTTATTTTTTGACAAATCGCGAATATAGTTAATAACAAGTAGCATTAAAAAATTTAAAGTCAATTCCTACTTGGGTTAACAAAGAAAATTTTTATTCTAGGTACTTTTATTGAACAGTTATACAATTAATATAAATATGTATATATACAAACGACAGAATCTCAATATTAAATGACCAAATAAAAAACGATTTTCCTTGCAATTTTCCATTTTACTTTCTACATATGTTGTTGGACTATCGTTTTTGTGTTTGTTACTATTTATTCATTAATTAAATTTAATTATTTTAATAAAATAATTTAGTAAAAAAGAAATCACATTCTTAGAAATTAGGCCAACCCAGGTGGGATTCGAACCCACGCTCTTGGGATTAGAAATCCAACGCGCTAGCTATTGCGCTACAGGGACGCAACGAGCGATTTTCCTTTCTATATATGCTATTGGACTATTATTTTTTGTTTGTTACTATTTATTCATTTTTTAATTTAATTAATGAATTAATAGTTTAAAAAAAACAATAGTAACATCAAGTGTCATCCACTACAAGCTTGAATGTATGAATATAAAGTATTTTATTAACGACTGAAAATTTGAACAAGATATATAAATAAACAGATAGATATTTATAGGGATAGAGAGAATAGTAGGAATTGAAAAATAATTCTATATTTACCCATGCATAGAAAATACTTTAGTGTGGTGATCGCTGCGTTCCACATGAGAAAACTGAGATTTCACTATTGCCCATGGGATAATCATAGCTGCTGGAAGACCTGAAATTCAATTAGATTAATATTACAAGAAAAAAAGTTCTAAAAAAATCTCAAATATCGTTAGACAATTTGACAGAAAAAAAAATCTAACGAATTCAAATGATCTTCTATTTCAGTTATCGCTGTAGCAATCATTCAGACACTTTTAGTGATTCTTAGTAGGTTTATTTGCAAATGGAATTAATCGTGCTCGAGAGCGCAAGTAAATGGAATGACGTCGACAGTAAAACCCGCTTCTAGAAGTATCCATTAAGGGTAATTGAACAGAAAGTTACAAATGGAGTGTTATTCGACAGAGTTATTTCTTATATGTTGTGATTTTTGTTTGTAATACCAATTACGTTGAAGGATTAATGATTGTAGCTCTCCATTCACGCAGTTAACTAATTACGGAAAGTATTTTATGTGAATGAGAGAATAAAATACGCTGGAAATTCAAGATAAAATCAGATAATCTTTTTATGTTGATTTATTCCAAACAAGACATTTTTCATATTTTCTTCATCAGCTGTTTTTGAGAGGCTTGGTTTTAAATAAGCCTAGTGGCTGAGTGGTAGGGTATCGTGTTTCTACGCCACAGATCCGAGGTTAAAACCCCAGGCTGGGCAAGGTCAATAGTCTTTCATCTCTTCAGTGGGTCGATAAATGAATATCGAGCAAGCTTGGGAATTAAACACTGAGGGTTTCTCGTCAGACTGTCCACTGGACCGGAACATCTGCTCATGCACCTCAGTACCCAATATTACAAAAACAGTTGGCCTTTGTCCTCATGGACTCTTGCAAGACTGAGTTTAGTTTATTTTGGTTTTGAATAAAAGTTACAGAATTTATTGAAATATGCGTATTCTCTTAATACAGGAAGAAGGAACGGGTAACTACTTTTTAAATTATCCCTAAAATTTGAGTAAGCATATTTTAAAAATTATCTTTAATTGAGAGGAACAGGAGGGGCCTGCAGTAGTCTAGTGCAGTGTTTCTCAAACCGTGGGGCGCCCCCTCTTGGGGGTCGTCATAACCCGACGAGGGGGGCGCGAGCATATTAAAAATTCAAAAACAAAAGATTATTTAAAAAAACTATTAATTTACTGAAAGTAAACAAACAAAATACATTCTGACATAATATAAAATAAAATAACTCATTTACACTGATATAGTACACTTATAAATATATCAGTACTGCGAGATGTATTTAATTATTAATTTAAAAATACTAAGTTAAGAATAAGTTTATTAATTTCCTGTGATCCCATGGGCTTCTCATATATAAAATCATATGTAAAAAGGAACACTTATCTTGATAATTTATACGGTTTATAATCAATACCTTAAATGCCGATTAAAAATTACGCTATGTCCCCAATGCCATTGTTTAACACGTAGGCGAGCTTATGTGGTGTATTGGGAAGGGGGAGGGGGTAGAAAAGGAATAAATAAGCAAATCCTTCGCAAACTCAGCCAAGGTGATTTAATTGTAAATTTAAAGCCTTCGGAATAATTTTATGGAGAGCAGTTCACAGAAAATATAATTCTTCGGAAAGACGTATATATGCGTCCGGTCCAATTAACGCACTGGTTGAGTAAGACGTTTATATACACCGGTTAAAGTCGTGTTGCAAGTTTAGCGTCAATGTATTGTTTTTTCAATTCATTGTTATTTTATGGGGGGGGCGATGAAAATTATGATTGAATATTGGGTCGCAAATATTGAAAGTTTGAGAAGCACTGGCCTAGTGGTCATGGACACGGAATCGTAGTGGACTTTTCGTGAGTTTGAGCCTAGTGCCTTTGAAGATCCATCGTATAGAGGGGACGACTGACGTTAACTATGTCGAGGCTCAAGGTCCTCCCCGCTAGCGTGGTGGGGAAGACAAGAAACGGGGTGCCAGACCAGGTCCTCATTTCTTGACCACAGTTCAAAATTACGAGGTCCATCACCAATAACCTTCGGGAAGTTTCACAGCCTACTCACTCACAGGACAGTAGTATTTTAAACTGTAAGTTTAATTTTATACTTGCAAATCTGAATAAGGATTTTGTTATAATAATACTTAATACATATAATACTTTTTTAAAAGAGACATTTTGGTATAAGTATTGGAAAATACAACATATTTGTGAGTAATATACACATAAATATTTTGGTGTATGAACTAAATTTTTGATTTCTAGTAAGCAATAAAAATGGCTTTATGTAAACACATTCCAAAAATGCTAGGGACGATATAATATGTATATCATCAATATCATGCACTTAAATAACTAGTGTAATATAAAACCTAATGTCTTTGAAGAATAATAAAGAGGGAAAGAGATTACGAGAGAATGATAAATATTACTTGAAATATAGTTGATATTTTAATAATATACAAATGTATGATAAATACACTAGAAGGTAATACAAATTAAGAAAAAAAGATCTTCCCCAATCCAATCATATTTCATACACACAATTCACTGTCTTAGCAAAAGTTTTAGTTAATGTAATATTTTTGTAAGTTATTTAAAGAACACGTATTCTCTATCCCCCTCCCCACCAGCTGGATAAAAGGACATGCAATGCAACCATTATTAATCGATTTTCATTTCGATAAGGATATTATACACATCTATTTTTCTTCAGTTTTACCCAAATACTATCCAAAAAATAAATGTTGATTGGACTGTGGAAAAAACTCTTATTAGGAAATATGCATCTAGTATCGAGTAAGAAATTTTTCTCATTTTGTCAATCTTCAGTATTTAAGTTATTAAGTGGTGATTCTCATCAGGTATCGACATTTAATGATAATTTATGCATTTGTATGGGTTTTATAGGAGGACTTATTTTGTTATTCCCATCAATTACATAAATTAACAATTTACGGTCTTGTAAAAACTTTCAAAGAACAAACATCATAAATATTGAAATAATTTATTTATCGCTTGAATATTAATCATTTTTGCATATCCCATTGTCTTCTTCCTCTTTCATGAGAATTTGATGTTTGTATCTATCCCCCTTCATGGCGTTGCAATTTAATGGACAGCAGTGTATTTTAAGATAATTTTTGAAATACTAATACATGTAGTTATCAAAAAAAGGAAAACACCTGTAAATAAAAGTGACATTTTTGAATGCGCTTCTTAAGCATTAAAATATAATATAGGCAGCCAGGTTTTCTTTGTAAATAGAAATTTATATATTCTGGTAGTATGTGGTAGCTTTACTGAAAAGTCTCTCTGTAAGTCTTGGATTTTTTTCAAATGCGTATAATGTTCGACCTCTCAGATTTTCAGAGGCCAAATTAAAGGAGCCCTTCTAGCTAGATCAGGTGTGACCAAAACATCCCATCTCTTAGGTTTTTCTAAAGGTACGGTATCTGAAGTCATGACAGCATATACACAGCGCGGCAAGACAAGCTGGGTAAAGCAAAATAGTGGAGGGAAAGAGAAGTTCTGTGAAAGAGATTGACGGATATTGAAGCGGATTGCAATGTCTAAAAAGCGAACAACTGCAGCAAAAATGATGACAGAACTAAATCAGCATCTGAACTCTCCAAGATCAATGATTATAGAAAGAAAGCAACTTCACAAACAGAACATTTACGGAAGAGCAGAAGTTCCCAAGCCACTTGACACAGATGTCAATGCCAAACGTCGTCTACAGTGATGTTACACTCTCAAAATCTGGTAGATTGATAAGAGTAAGAAAGTAATGTGGTCTTTCACACTTTTCCCAAGAACATGACGGGTGCACGTTTGGAGGACACCTGCCTAAGCGTATGATCATGATTGTCCCCTTTCAACTGTCAAGTATGGAGGTGGATTTGTTATGATATGGGGAGCCGTGTCGTGGGTTTCTGCTGAACCAATCGTAGCTATAAAAGAAAGGATGACTGGGGAGGAGAATAGAGACATTTTAACTGACCTGGTCTATCCTATGATGCAAACTTAGTTTCCTGCAGGAGGTGGAATTTTCCGGGATGATAATACACCTATCCATGCAGCGGGACGTCCAAACATGGTTTGATAAACAGGAAGAAGTTAACCTTAACCCTCACAGTCACCCGACTACATATAACTAAACCATTATGTTCTATTTTAGAGTGCTATTTTTAATGTGAAATCATATCCACGAAGAATGGTACAATATTCCTCTTTACCCTATTCAGCCCTTGTATAAATTTTTTCTAAGCAAATCCAAGCTGTATTACATGCCAAAAAAGCCGGTCCTAAGTCATACTAAAAAAAGAATTTTTTTAAATAAATTTAAGGTGTTTAAATTAGTTTGATAACCAATTGTTTGTTTAATTTTTTTCTAAATAAGTATGTGAATGATATTTATTTGCTGCAAAAAATGTTACTCATAAATATGTTAGATTATATTTATGAACATATATCGGCTTAAGGATTATATTAAATTATCATTGCTATTTGTAATGTTTTCCTAATTTTTTTGTTTTGAATTTGAATGAATATTGATCTCGGAGTGATCAGTTTCTGATTATAATGATTTCAACACAGAGTTTTTCTGGTAGTTTAAAATATCTTTCCTCATAAAAATCCTGTAAGTTATCTTTTGAATGAAGAAAAAGAGATATTTTTTTTTATTCATATTTTGTTGCAATTATACACACAGTTTTTTTAAGTTCTTAA